GCAAAACCCTAGAGAGGAATGCGCAGAACAGAGAGAAAAGGAGACAACTGATCTGAACTGATTATCGTGGCTCTGATACCATGATAAAACTCAGATTAGATGTTCGTATATGTTCAGATCAGAAGAAAGAGAAGGAAAAGAGAGAGAGAAGGAGAAGGAGAAAAGTCACAGCCGAACTAGCGAGTAAAATCTCAAAACCTCTAGTTAGCCCTTCTTTTATTTATACTCTTCTAAGATATACAAGGATTACCATTGTGCCCTCACTTAAGTGAGAGCCACATCAGCAGAGCAGTACATATATAACTAAACATAAAAGGACTGTACTACCCTTGTACAGCCGACTCTAACAGGGTAGTTATGTAACTACCTCCTCCTAGGTGAAGGACACCTGTCCCTCCCACTTAAAGAGAGGGAACTCCCATACGGGATACTTTTTTATAGTTTTGATGATTTGGCTAGCAAACTAGCCAGCCCACTTATTTGGGTTATTAAATTATTAATATTATTTGGATTAAAAAATTGCCTTCAACAACTTCATATATATTTTACACCACACCAGGTTATGTAACCTCCTATCTTAGTTGGTTTCAAGGTTAGACCCTATATGCCTAGCTGCCTGTACATGACTAGAGTACTGGTGTTGGAAACAATACATACCCGATACAACACCAGGATACTGCATGAACATTTCTAGATATATTCAACAGCACTAAAATTTAAGAAATATATAAAATGGTATATTTTAACAAATAATACTATATAAAATATGTATAATTTAGAAATTTAATTAAATAAGTTTTGAGAAATAACAATTAGCTTCAAAAACTAGATAAAAGCATTATATAAGGATTTTAGGAAATGGAGAGTTGTATCTCCATGTCCTGTACTAATATCTGTGTCAGTATCCATTTCTGGGCATCACAAATATGGATTATGGAGCACCACAACCAGAGGATATTTGAATATGTTTCTCATCCTACTCCAATAATATGTAATGATGCATGCTCTTATCACAGTGGCTCTTGTGCAAAATGATTTCAAATACATCAACATGTTAGACTTCACTATATACTAATTGGAGCTGTTAAACAGTTGATAGACATATAATCAGCAATAAAAAAAATGTGTAATCAGCAAATGGAATCTCCAGTGCACCAATTTCCAGGCATGTTATAGAGAACTTGCATGCTAAGTGACAGCCCAAAAAGATACTTCTCAAGAAAGACCAAGCATATTCCTATATGCATGTCTCATTTCTGTGTCATCAGTTCATATATGTGCACTCTATGATTTTGTTTATTAATCCAAGCCAACAAGTCCTCACCAAACTGAAGGCTACACCTGCAAGTTAAAGTTTACCTGAATACAAAAATACGCATTAAGACCACAGCATCCAAGCCTGAACTTGACAAGAGTTCCTCTTCGGAAGGCATCCATGCCCTTCGTACCCAACCAGGAGAAGGCAACAACCTCTCTAAGTGGAAATGACTGTTGTGCTGAAATTTTCCTTCAGCTACCAAACGAGGTGCATAAACATTAACATTACCTGGTTGCTTCCTCAGTATAGAATATAGTGTGAAAAATAGAATACAAAGGCCAAGATTGATCCCCACTGAAGTTAAAAGAGCAGATACGATCATTACTTCAAAACAATCTCAGAAACCACACAAACACGAGAAATTTGCCCAGATTCAATTTTGAAAAGACAAAAATCTGCATACAAGATAAAAATTATGTGAGAAGAAAGTACATAAAAATCACAATTATACTGCATATACCTAATGTTGAATATGCAAAGCATCTAACTAAACTATAATTAATCCCATAATTATATATTCTAATAGAGAATCACAAACAAAACCATGAAAATGACTTATTAAATTAAGCACAATAATGACTTGTTAAAAAAAGGCGAAAAGGAAAACCCAGGAAATTGCAATATATCTATGGAGCACAGAAATTTTACCTTTCTAGGATTAGTAACAAAATCAAGTAAGGGAAATCTTATAGCCAAGTAAAAAATATTGAAAACCAAAACACATTCTAAAGAAACCATATGATAGGTATGAGCTATTCAACTAAACAAAGCAAGGATACAAGTCAAGTTACTTATATACATGTCTCAATGTGTCCAAGTATGATACAAGTAGACATTGTTTTGGCAAAATTAAGTGTTTAGGACATTAGACCATACTGGCTACTTCTGAAATCCATATCAAGAACTGTTCATGTGAAAAAACCTTAGCTTATCTATTCACATTATATGCAACATGAATTATAGAGTATGTAACCTCCACCTAGAAAAGGCCAGAAATTTCTTCACATATTTCCGCTAATTGACATTGTAGCAAAACAAAAATGAAGAAATATATATATATATACAGCAACTCAGAATTTATTAATTGATTAAATTTAAAAAGTATATACAACAAGAAGTAGTGGGCAGAAGGAGAAGCCCAAAAGAAAAACCACTATTTACAAACCAGCACAGTATATAGATTGTTTTTGAATCCCTTGTTTAGCTAGTCCATCAGCCATACTGTTAGCTGATCTCCTAACCCATCTAATTTGTATCAACATGTCTTTAGATTCTGCTTGAAGCACCTGAGTTCATTTCTTAGCTTCCATATTACAACAATCTTTGAGTCCCCTTCAATAATCAACCTGTTAATCCCCATTTCTTTGGATTTTTCAACACCATACACTGCTGCCCTCAGTTCTGATCTCACCACATCACCGTGCTGAATAGGACCTGAGTACATGGATAAAATATTCCCATTCTCTTCCCTTATCACCCCACCAATACCCAATGAGCCAGGATTTCCCATACAGCTACCATCAAATTTTAATTTCCTCCATCCAGCCGCAGGAGGGGACCAGACCTCATTTGTTTTAGATTTTCTAGAAGCAGTGTTAGTAATTGTTCCCCAAGATCAGAAAAAATCTTCTGTCTTAAAGTCAGCAAACAACTTTAATGTTTTCACCTGATGTGTCACCCTTAGATTACCACTTCGATCACAATTTCCTTGCTTCTTTCCTTGTCATCAAAAATCCTTAGGTTTCTTTCTTCCAAAATTGTCCAGATCACTGCTGCTCTAGTGCACCTTCACATGATTCTTCCTCTTCTTTTAGAGCACCTGAAAGTATGAGAACTAAAGGATCCATCCAAATTAACAGGAGTCCAGCTTCAGCCAAACAGAGAAGAAAACCACTCCCAAATGAAGTTAGAAAAGGGAGAGGAAATTAAAAGATGAAAGGCAGTCTCACCATGTAGCTTAATAAGGAGCACCAGTTTGGGGACAAACACCACTTTGGTCTTTTTTTTTCTGAAGCAGATCACGAGTGCTAATGGAGCCATGGAACACTTCCCAACAGAAAGCACCGACTTTAGGAGGGATGGGATAATACCAAACCTCCTTGACAGGGAAAAAAGGAGAGGAGGAGGTAGCAACATGGGAATTCAGAAAGAATTTGCAAGAAAAGGACCGTGACTGGTTGAGAACCCAAACTCTAGAATCCAAACCACTATCCCCCAAAATCACTGAACTCAGAAAGTTAATCAAAGCAAAGACATCAGGGATTTCAGATTCTCTCAAATATCTAGTAAGGCCCAGATTCCAACTCAAGTTAGAAAATGATGGGGATGAACTGATAAAGTCACTGATAGGTTTTCCCTTGAGACTAGAAAGAGCAAAGAGGGAAGGGAAAACCTCAGGAAGGGGGGAATACCCAACCCAAATATCCTCCCAGAACCTGATTTTCYGACCCAAAGCCAAATCATACCTTATGTGGGGAAGAGACAAAGGGAGAATGTCATGGATGGCCTTCCATGGAGCAGCCAACGTAGCTCTATGCAAAGGGGATCATCTATGTGTGCTCCAAATGAAGTATCAATTATAAGTACACAAACTTGCAGTTTCCAGTTACATAATGTTAAACTTCACCTTAACCCAATGATGCATGTTTTTGTCTGAAACCTAATGCCACCCATCTTTCTGTTTAGACCATTTGACTCAATCCTTGTGTTTATTTTTATTAGTTGGATCAATTAAAATTAGTAGATTTAATTCCATTATGACATCTTTTCCCATGCCTTTTGTTAGTACCTAGCCATACCCCTCAACATTAAGATCTTACTCAGTCAAACCTTGCTTCCCATGCTTACTCATTACTATTTTACACAATATTATACAATATCCCCAACATTCTACCATATCTGATCAACTATTTTACATATGTTAAGTGTAATTAGCAATATATATCTGGCAGATAGATTTCTCTATTGTATTGGTAAGTGTAATGAGGTTTCCTCTATCATGTAAAAGGTCAATGTGGTAATTCTAAACCAACCATCTGACAATTAACATTTTACCATATGAGAAGTATCCTCACCCAGGACAGCTCCATATCAACCATAGATTGCAATTTCCATCTATGAGCAACAGCCATGAATTTCTTGAGCTTTTCAATAGAGACCAAACAATTGAGGAGAAAAAAATACTTTTTTTCCACAACAGTAGAGATCTACTGAACTGAGACATGTAAAAATAGTACAGAAAAAAGGTATTTCATACCTCTATTGTCTAAACAACATTCTTACTCACTAGTCATGTGAGAGAGAGTGTGTAGCAAAGAAAACAAACTATTAAAAAGATAAAGCCAACCAGATGCACTGGATGGAAAGTGAACAGAAATCACTTATATAGTTATATCGAAGACTAACTAATTTAGGGAGTTTGGGTACATAAATGTAAATTACTGAAAGTTGGATTAGGTATCTACGCTAGACTAAAACCTGTAAGCACATATCTTACCATGTACTTTGTTGAAGATTGTTATGATTCGGCCTGCCTTAGAATTCTATCTGTCTGAGATCGGTTAGGTAGAAAGAGGTAAAAAGGTGGAAGAAAGAGAGAAAGAGAGAAGGGGAAATTCTGGTTCGAACTGGAAGTCTCAACTTCACCTTCTCCCAGTCGGCCAGACAAAACTTATATTATTAAAACTGATTGAAAAGACATATGTGCCCTTAATTAAGTTAGGGGCACAGGTTCCAACACAATATTACAGATCAGCAACATTAATCTAGGTATAAAGACAGAAATACCCCTATGCTAACAAAGATTAGTCAGTTTTATGTTGTTTTTAGAATAGTTGTGTTATGTTAGTTGTTAGATAGGTAGTAGGGACCACAACAGTTATGTGAGTCCAAATTTTTTTTTTGAGTTCTATATATGCTGTTTTATGTTTTGCCACCCTATAAGAGCATAGTAGTCTTTGTACTCCTCTTTTATTTTATTATAAATAACAAGTGAAGGGGGTGACCAGATTATTGCTCTCCTTCTTCTCGAGATTTCTTCATTTCTTCTTCTTCTTCTTCTCTCTTTCTTCTCTCTTCAAGAAAACACCTTTCTTTTATATTTTTTAATCCAGCAGATTTCTACTTGGTATCAGAGCATCGGCTAGGGTTCTTGAAGCATTCTCATGCAGCCCTAGATCGGCCGACTACATGAAGTAAGAAGAGGCTAATTGTTCTGCTTTTGGTTGCCCAATTCTTGGATTTTTTGGTGAGATCGAGTCATTAAGAAGGTGATCTTCGTTTTGGCATCAAAATCAGGAGGAACTGGAGTACGGGGAAGAGTCCTAGAAAAGCTAGACTCTTTGTTTTTTATTTGATCTTGGGCGCACAGGTATCGTTAGACTTCTTTTATTCTTCTGTATGGGGCGGTTAGTTTTCTGGACCTTTCTGGGCCTTCTGGAGTGGCTGTTTCAATCTTCTCTCTGTTGGGAGACGCTGGGGGGAGAGAGATTTCTCTCCGATTAGGTTTTCTTTTCCCGGAGGGGCTGGTTTCTGTGTGTGTGGTTTTAACTTGTTCCTGGAAGCTCTCAACTTCCTTCTTTCTGACTATTAAACTATTTGAAGTAAGACGGAGAGTTGGAGTACCGAGCTGAAATCCACCGGTACCATGGGACTAGGCGTTGGAGGTGGTGGTGATATTTTTGGGTCTGAAATCATTACTACAGTAAAGCTTGACGGTACAAACTATTTAGAATGGGCACAATCAGCCAAGATGGCCATTGGTGCTCGTGGAAAATTAGGGTACATCACTGGGGAGGAAAGGAAACTTGATACCTCACATTGGAAAAAATTCTATGCTAAGAAATTAAGTAATGGTGATGTCCTAGTTGTGTAATTCTATGCTACTTCACATTGGAAAATTTTTTTTGTGGGCTAATACTGCAAAGGAGATTTGGGATGGAGTGACTGAAACCTACTCTCAGAAACAGAATGTAGCCAGAGCTTATGAGCTAAGAAATCAGGTGATTAGTATAAAACAAGGAGACAAACCTCCTGCTATGTATTTCTCCATGCTGAAAACCCTTTGGCAGAAGATAGATTACTTAGAAACCATGATGTGAGAAAGTGTCAATGATGCAACAACCTATCAGAAACTGGTAGAGAAAAATAGGGTTTTTGAGTTCTTGGCAGGGCTGAACCCTAAATTCGACATTGCTAGACAGCATATCCTCTTTACGGAGAGTGTGACACTCTCTCAAGCCTATGCCTTTGTTTCTGGAGAGGAAATAAGGAGGAATGTCATATTGAGACATCCTGGGATTGACCAGTCGGCTATGGTTAGTACAGCCAAACCGAAGCCGAATGGAGACAGGGGGAGCAGTGAGACTAGAAGGGAGGATAAGGACTTGGTGTGTGA